AGTGGAACTGCTCCGTAGGGTTTTCTTGGCTGTAATATTGCTAAAAAGGCACAGAGGCCACATCTCTTGACCTCCTCTAACCGCACAGGAGAAAGACAGAATCACCATCAGTAGCCCAAAGCCTATTCCTGCGAGGCCAGACATGCTACCTCCCTCCAGCCCTTTCACCAATCCTGACACCAACCGTTTCTCCCGCAGCAAACCTTTCTGCTGGGTTTGATAATTCGCTGCAGTGGCCACACAGAACTCACAGATTATGGGGTTTATTAAGGAAGCACCAAGCTACAATTCAAGTTCAGGAAAAACACTCAGTCTCTCTCAGCCCGCTGTCTCTCAGCCAACAGTCTCTCTCAGTCTTTCTCCCAGCAGTACGTGTCTCTCAGTGTCTGTCCCAGCAATGTGTGTCTCTTGCATCTCTTTCCCAGCAGCGCATGTCTCTCGGTGTCTCTTTCTCAGCAGCACGTGTTTCTCAGGAGCATGTTTCTCTCAGGAGCACATCTTTCTCATCCAGCATTCAGAGAGAGAGCGCTTCTGCCTCTAGGCGGGCTCCCTTTGAGGAGTAGCCAAACTAGCCAATCATAACATCAGAATTCTAAGCACCTGAGAGAAAGCAAACCTCGCAGAACATTGCTTTGTGCCACTCCCAACAGAAATACCCCAGGTGGATAACTTTTACAATCAGGAACTCCTCAGTTGCTCACAGCAGATTCCCCCACGGAGTTTACAAAGACTTATGGCTAGAAAAGCCATACCAGGTCATTTACTACACCGCAAATATGCACAGGTGTGGAGTGCCAGGCCTTCCTTCCATGGCATACTGGGTGGATTCAGACGCCAAACTTTAGGTGGTGGTTTTGTTGTTGTCATGTGCCGTCGAGTTGGACCCGACTCATAGGCTACCTGAGGATCTTATCAGTAAGCGAAAGCCAAAACCAAAGCCACTGCTATGGAGTTGATTCCAACTCCTAGCAACCCTATAGAAAAGAGTAGAACTGCCCCATTGGATTTTCAAGGCTGTAAATCTTTGGAAACAGACTGCCACATGCTTCTCCTGTGGAGCCACTGGTGGTTCCTAACCAGTGACCTTTCAGTTAGCAGCTGAACACTTAATCACTGCACCATCAGGGCTCCTTTCAGTAAGAACAAGGTCTTAAAACCAAGGGTAGGTGGTGTTAGGAAGGCTGTGGTCAGCTCCTGGGCACTGAGCAGGCTTCTTTCACCTACCAGGTAGCCGAGGAGATCAGTGGCCCCTTGACCTCAGCCAATAAGATAACACTAGTGTCCAGTGGAAGTGGGACTATGGGGGCAGCCAAAGTGACTGGGGAAGTACTGGACATCCTGAGCCGCCTGCCGGAGAGTGTGGAGAGACTCACAGGCATCAGCATCTCCCAGGTAAGGGGAGCCCTCTCTGAGGTTGGGGGTCAGGGAGCAGAATTGCTGTGTTCCTGTGTTACATGACACAGTAGGCCTACCATTGGGCCAGCGCTCAGGAGACCTGGAGGTTACCGATATTTATTAAGTGCTTTCTGTATGCCAGACACAAAACTACGCTTATACAGAAATGGCACAAAACTACCTTTGGGGTATGTATGTATTATTTTGCCAGGTAAAGAAACTAAACTCCCAACGTGTTAAATAACACCCCACGTCATGTAGCCAGTGAATCTGGGCTTCAGCCCCAAGACGACTGGCTCTGGAGCTTGTGCTCGTAGTCATCCCACTCGTGCATGGAACTAGTTACAACCCTATTGACAGTTAATTACTCCCAAAGTGAGTCACTGCCTCTTGGTGCCTCAGTGTATTCACCTTTAGATCATGGTAGAGATCATAGAACGGGCTCTGGAACCAGTTTTGGTTTGAATCCTGGATCCAGTGCATGCTAGCTGTGTGACCTTGGACAAGTTATTTAACCTCTCTGTGCCTCAGACTCCTCACCTTAAAGTCAGGTTAATAATAGTAACTACACTGTTGAATTGTAGGGGAGGTTGCGTGAGTAAATATTTGCAAAGAACAATGCCTGGCATATAGTAAGGGCAAGATAAGTGTGTATTAAATAAACTAAAAATACATATACACATAAAAACAGTGAACACTATCAATGACCTTCAAGCTGGATTCCTTGGGGCCTGCATTGGAGGATTGGGAGCCAAGAAGTGGCTGAGCAGAGCTCTGGGCCCCTCTACCCACTCCAGTGATTTGCTATGTACTATTATACATGATCCCAAATGACTTTGGGAAAAGGGAGTGAGGTAGGGTACTGCTGGGAAGAACTACAAGACTCCTGGAGGTGAATATCCCCTCATTCGTCCTCAGGGGGACCTGAGGGAGGAGGGTACCTGGTTCCAGGTGTCATCCACTGTTATCTTTTTGGCAGGTGAACCACAACAAGCCTTTGCGAACAGCCTGAGCCCTCAGCCCTCGCCGATGCCCAGCCTAGTTGTTCTAAGCCTGAAGGGTCTCCATTGCATGCAACCCAGCTAACCTTCCTGAGCATGCCCTTTGACAGTAGGGCACTCCCCCTCATCCCTCCTTGCCAAATCACCTGTGCCTTGCCTTGGAGCGGGGAGGGCTTCTCCCCTTGCCAACCCCACACTGCCAAGACTGCCCTCCCCAGGGGCCCCACCCCATTGCCACTCACTCAACTTTGAGCCAGTGGTCTACAGTTTTTTCCCGATCAAGATGGGTAGTGTGGAGGCTTTCAACTTTACATGCCAAGTAATGTTAATAAGTACTGATACTTATGAACAATTAATAAAGAACCAATTCAAAATGAATGCTACAAGTAGTTTGCTCCCTCACTTCAACAGGCTTTCTAAGATGGGAGAAAAGTTACTTATATGTTGTTACATGTTGTAGAGTTAATGTTTTGTTTCCAAAAGCTGGTTTAGTCAGGAAAACATGAAGTGGAAGCAATGTTGAGAACTGCATTACTCCCTAAAATCACATAGCCAATAGAAATACTCAGCTTTGGACTGTTCAGGTTTCAGAACAGCTTTAAGCATTTTGTGCACTTAAAAGCATTGTTGTTGCTATGTGCAGTCAAGTTGGCTCCGACTCATGACCCTATGTACAACAGAACAAAAACACTGCCTGGTCCTGTGCCTTCCTCACAATGCTTGCTATACCTGAGCCCATCGTTGCAGCCCGTGTCAGTCCATCTCATTGAGAGCCTTCCCTTTTGCTGACCCTTCACTTTACCAAGCATGATATCCTTCTCTGGGGCATGGTTTGCTGACAACATGACCAAAGTAAGTGAGACAAAGTGTCTATTCTTGCTTTCAAGGAGCCATTCCAGTGGCACTTCTTCCAGGACAGATTTGTTAGTTCTTCTGGCATTAGGTAGATCATGAACAGGAAAGTTACCCTTGTATCGACTCTGACCACTGGTGATCATGTGTGTGTTGCAGGTATGTTCCATAGTTTTCAATGGTTAGTTTTTTGGAAGTAGATTGCCAGGCCATTCTTCTGAGGCACATTGTTGAATGGCCTCAAACCTCTAACCTTTTGGTTAACAGCTGAGCATGTTAACCATTTGCATCACCTAGTGACTCCAGATGGCTCATACAGGGTGTTATTTTAGAACAGGGCCATCAGGGTGAAAAGACATCCCCCAGCAGTCATCTTTGTCTCTGATTGATGAGAGAAACCCACAAGATTACAGAAAAGAGCCATAAGTACCCCTAACCCAGAGAAGTCCCAGAGAGTACAAGTCAGAAAAGTATAATACAGGACTTTTCAAACCTGAGCATTCCTCAGAATCCTCTGGCACACTTGGATTTACAGCCTCAGAAACTGATGGGGGGTCATCACTGAGTCAGAATCTACTCAATGGCAGCGAGTTTAGTTTTTTGAGTTTTGAGTTGCCGGGACCTGCTGATTCTGTTGGTCTGGGAATCACCTTGGAAACCACATACTATTTGACATTTACCTCAGTTCCCATTTTCCATCCTTTGGGCCTACATTCTGAGCCTACCCAGTTAGTAAGATTGGTACTGGCATGTGTCTAAGGGTGGGGAGGGTTTACCAGGGATGAGTGTCAGCTAAGTAATGTGATAGTCTCATCAGCCTAAGAGCAGATTGTGCAGTTAAATCAGGGCCCGTGTGCATCTGCCCACCATCTTTCCCTAAATGAGCACGCATCTTGCCAAGTTTTCTTTTTTTCAATTCCTGTTTATTTTTGGCTTTGGGGGCAATGTCATCTTTTCAATATGAAAAAAAGCAAGTTCAACACAACTAGAAATTTGAAGTGTAGAATGGGGGGGGCAAGGAAACAAGGATAGAAATAAGAAAGGCAATACAAATGGAAGAGATGAGATGCTTCAAGATGACAGAACATGTCCTGTTCCCTCTGGGGAATTGACTCAAACCTGTAGGTGGCAGTACATACCTTGCCATGTCAGGGCTGTTAATCTGTTTTTTGGGGATAAGGCAGGCTTTTTTTTGGAGGCTCCAAGACCAAGGCTGGCCTGTCCTCCCCTTTCCTGAGCCAGAGGAGGAAGGAATCCAATGTGGGAGGGAAGTGAAGCAGGGGAGGTAGAGAGATCCCACATGACTGAATGGGGCAGACCTCTCCAAAGGAAAATGAGAGCTCAGGACAGCTTGGAGGGAAAACTGGAAATGGAGATAATACTGTTAAACCTCCCCTGAAACTGAGAGAGGAGCAGGGTAACAGCCTGGATTCCTCTCTTTAAAACTGCTCTAGGATGGAAAATCCTAACCCTTTCCTTCTAATGACTTCTACCTACTATGCCTTAGCTTGGTTTTCTTTTCCTCTGGCTACCATGGGCTCATCCCTTGTACTAAGGATGGTAGCCATGGGGATTTAGAGCACATGGTTCTAAATGGGATCTGGGTAAAGGCCAGGTTCCTGGAGAATTATCACAAAAATAGATAGGGAAATACTAACTGGACAGATGGGAGCAGTGGGCACCAGAAGGAAACACAAGGTTACCCAGGATGGCAGAAATCTGGTTTCTCAGAGTGGAAAAAGAGAGGAGACATTCAACAAACAACAAATATTTATTGAGCGCCTACTGTGTGCCAGGCACTGTTCTAGAACCTCCTCAAGGGGTGGGGAAAGGCAGAAAATGCAAATTCTGAGGGAGAGGAAAGGGGCAGTTGATGAAGAAGGCTGAAGAAGCTGAGAAGCCTGAGGTAATGGTGCTCGGCCTTACGCCTCCTCTTCGGCCTCCTCACCGAAATCCTCCTCCTCTTCTGCGGTGGCATCCTGGTACTGCTGGTACTCGGAGACGAGGTCGTTCATGTTGCTCTCAGCCTCGGTGAACTCCATCTCGTCCATGCCCTCACCTGTGTACCAGTGGAGGAAAGCCTTCCGACGGAACATGGCAGTGAACTGCTCTGAGATGCGTTTGAAGAGCTCCTGGATGGCGGTGCTGTTGCCGATGAAAGTGACTGCCATCTTGAGGCCACGGGGTGGGATGTCACAGACAGCCGTCTTGACATTGTTGGGGATCCATTCCACGAAGTAGCTGCTATTCTTATTCTGTACGTTAAGCATCTGCTCATCTACCTCCTTCATGGACATCCGCCCACGGAAGACGGCAGCCACAGTGAGGTATCGGCCATGGCGGGGGTCACAGGCAGCCATCATGTTCTTGGCATCGAAGACCTGCTGGGTGAGCTCAGGCACAGTGAGGGCCCGGTACTGTTGGCTACCACGGCTGGTTAGCGGGGCAAAACCAGGCATGAAGAAGTGGAGACGTGGGAAGGGTACCATGTTGACTGCCAGCTTGCGGAGGTCGGCGTTGAGCTGGCCTGGGAAGCGGAGGCAGGTAGTGACACCGCTCATAGTGGCTGAGACAAGGTGATTCAGGTCTCCGTAGGTTGGTGTGGTCAGCTTGAGGGTGCGGAAGCAGATATCATAGAGGGCCTCATTATCAATGCAATAGGTCTCATCGGTGTTCTCTACCAACTGGTGGACAGAAAGGGTGGCGTTGTAGGGCTCAACCACGGTGTCGGAGACTTTGGGGGAGGGCACCACACTGAAGGTGTTCATGATGCGGTCAGGATACTCTTCACGGATCTTGCTGATGAGCAGCGTGCCCATTCCAGAGCCTGTGCCTCCACCAAGTGAGTGGGTCAGCTGAAAGCCCTGCAGGCAGTCACAGCTCTCAGCCTCCTTCCGCACCACATCCAGGACAGAGTCGACCAGCTCAGCCCCTTCTGTATAATGGCCTTTAGCCCAGTTGTTGCCTGCCCCAGACTGACCTGGAACGGGGTTGGGAGTCAAGCTTGATTAGGAAGGTGTGGAAAGTACATGACCACATCTTCCCCTTTCAGAATAACATCCTTGGAGATTCTCTACCCTTTCCTCATCTATAACATATCCTCCCTGCATCCCCATAATTTACCAGCTAAGACAGTCACTACCTACACCCTCCTTTGAGATTTAGAACACAACCTTCTATGAACTCTCCAGTACAACAAGCATCTTCTAACTCATGTTATCCCTTGCACCCAAATAAAATGAGTAAGATGGTGTCTACAAATACCTTCTGTGTAACTCACCAAAGACAAAGTTGTCTGGTCTGAAGATTTGGCCAAAAGGACCTGAGCGAACAGAGTCCATGGTCCCAGGTTCTAGATCCACCAGGATAGCACGAGGAACATATTTCCCACCTACAGGGAAGAAAGTAGAGAACTAGGAAGCAAGGAACATAAATGCATTGGGGTTGGGAGAGTGCCCAACCAAAAAATCCATGATTCCAGGCACTGCCACCAGGTGGCAGTAGAGCTGGGCTTTGGCCCCAGGTAGCGGGGAGACATCAAATTGAGGAATGTTTCCAAAATGAAAGGGCGATGGACTCATCCAAAAGAAATAAGTCATTCCCCAAAAATGGAAAGATAGCCCCAGAGAAGTGGGAGAGGGGATGGGAGCCTTGTAGGAAACTGCCCTCACCTGTGGCTTCATTGTAGTACACAGAGATGCGGTCCAGCTGCAGGTCGCTGTCCCCGTGGTAGGTGCCGGTGGGGTCGATTCCGTGTTCATCACTGATCACCTCCCAGAACTGCCAGAGGAGAGCAATAAGTGCCTAGTCGCTCAGGTCAGGTCCCAGCCAATATGACTCCCCTTCCATTTTAATTATAGACGCAGCATGGTAGGCCGTTTCAGAGCCTGGCATCCCTTCCAAATTCGTATGCCACACCCCTCCCCCCTGACACCCGCATTCCCGAGAACTTCAATGTTTTATTTAGCTTCATTGCTGGGGATTTCGCGGGATGAGTGCGTAGAGGAGACACAGCTGACAGGATAGGCTCCCCTCTCTCGTCCCCCGCCCCCGGCTCGGCACCGCCCCTCCACGCACAAAGGGCCCGGAGAACCAAGAGGCGAGGCGGATGCCGCAGTCGCTCCCCCTTCCCCGCTCCACCTCGACGCACGCGCGCGTGGTGCTGCCGACAAAGGGCGGAGTCGCGCGTGGGAGGGGCGTGGCCGAAGGCGCTAATACGGCGCGCGGAGAGGTGGGGCCGGGCTTGCGCGCCCCCGCGGGCGGGCAGGGCTGCATTGTCCCAGCGCGCCAGAGCCCCGCCCCCGCCGGGCCCCGCCCTGCTGCTACAACATAGCAGGCCCACTTCCCCCCCGCCCCCTCCCCCGCCACACTGTAACCGCGCGCAAAAAAAAAAAAGAAAGAAAGAAAGAAAGAAAAAGCCCCTTGGCTTTGGAATTTTATTGTTTTCGCTAGTTTTTTCCTTCCTGGTTTAAATGAGTCTCTTTTCCTCGTCCTCCAACGATCCCAAGAGACCCTTTTAGCGGGAATAGTCCCCTCTTTTCTCGCGCCTTCTATCTGTTCACGCACTAGAAGGGTCTCGTAAAAGGAAAGATAGGATGTAAAACTGGCCCCGTACGTTTTATCTTTCCATCCACGCAAAACTACAAGATTGCCTCTCGGGAACCGCGGGCGCGCGCGGGTTCCTGATTTTTTGTGAAGGAGGACGGGCAGTGCAGCCCACCCTTTCACATCCCACCCCCAACTTTGGATCGCCCTCTGCAGCTGCCCGCCCAGCCTCGCCCCTTCCCCCTCCGATTTCGCCCTAACCCCAGGCACTGGGGGAGGCGGGATGCACATGGGGCCGAGCTCGCCTCGCTTTGTCTCGGGCCGTTTCCGAGCCTCTCTCCCTCCCTCCTCCTCGGACCGTTAGAAGAGCCCTTCTAAGTAAAATCTCACAGATACTCGATCCTCCTACCCCGCCCCAAGCCTATCAATAGCTTCTCCAAAATGAAAAAAATAACAACAAAAAATCCCCCATTTTCCAAGTCAATTCTAGCTACAAATGTGTGTCTGCGTCTAGACATTTCTATTTTTGCAAAGCTCGATTAAGAATGGAGAGCGCAAAATATCCCACAATCATTCTTCGTAAATGATCTGAAATTTTTTCTTCTCGAAAAAAACATAGTTAAGATTTCTAAAATCCTTACCTTGGCACCGATCTGGTTGCCACACTGACCAGCCTGGATATGCACGATTTCTCTCATGGTGAAAATTTAATATTACTTTTTTTGTTTTCCTCGCCTCAGGTGTGTGCGGGGTAAAAGAACGATATACAATTTTTGTCTCTGCGGATCGCAGGCGGCGACGATGGAACGCGCCCGGGAGGCTGGAGCAGAGAGGTCCGAACGCGGCAGCAGGAAGGTTCTGAGAGGGAGAAAGAAGGAGGGGGGAGGGGGAGGGAGGGAAGGCGGCAGGGCGGGGCGCGCGTGCGCGGGGGCCGGCGGGGGGTGGGAGACCGGGTCCCGAGCCGCGGTAGGGAGACAAAGCCTCATCAAGCCTGTCCCTGATTAGTGGATGCCGGTCACGTACCAGACGTCCATTGGCCTTCGCTAGAGTGGACGTGCGCGGTCCTCTCTGGGAGTTGTAGTCCTCTATTGTCCACGCCGCAAAATGAAGTGATGAAAAGGGTGGGTACCCGGTGTTTTGGTATTTTATTGTTTGATTTCTTTTCTTTTTTTTTTATGAAAAATTATAACCTTGGGCAAGATCCTTTTCCTCTGTTCCTGATTTTTTTTTTTTTTTGTACAGAAATGGAGCAGTTTTCGAGGATACAAGAATTGGGAAGTCTGAGGTCGCAGGCGTTGGGAGGTGGGCTGGACACGCCCTGCAAGCTCCCCACTGCCAGTAGCTCCTGGAAAGCAGGAGCGAATTACCCAGTAAGTGAGTAAGGTAAACACAAGTACTTAAGCACAAGTAGGCCCGTGTTCACTTTGCTTACTGGGTATTGAACTCCGTCCCTGTTAGGGATGGCAAATTTGAAAAGAGGTTTTGATTCTGTAAGAAAGTGCTGTGGAGTTTAGAGAGAGACAGATAGATGCCAACCATACCGAGAAGCAGAATCTTTGATGCGGTTAAAAAAAAAAAAAAAGTGAAATTGTTCACTACAGATTAGTAAGTAAGCACAAGCAAACTTCTATTTAGCTTGCTTATTAGGTAATCTGACACTGTTGAGAAGACTGGGTTGCTTAGCTCAGCAGAAAACTGGGTCGAAGTGTGGCACCCGGCTCTGCTAGGTAACTTCTGGTCCTTTGGTGACATAGGTCTGAACTCCACTAAGACATTGCTCCCCTACATCCCTCTGGAAATAGGAGGGTTTGCCTTCTTGCTCTTTGAGAGTTTCCAAATAATATTTCAAAAGAGAAACAAAATTGCAGCAAGGACTTTTCAGGATAGAGATGTAGTTGTCTGGAGTGTATGTTCAAAGAATAAATTTACTGGTTTAAGAAGCTGAAATCTGGCATTCGTGAAGCCAAAAGCCTTGGTCCATGTAGGGGATCTTGGCTTTAGAGTAGTGTAGAAGACACCTTGGTCTTTTTGTTGAACAAGGAACTGTGGAGTTAGATGCCTAATATAATTTCAGGGTCTTTGTAGCCTACCTCTCTAGACACATTCATGAAGGCAGTGTTTTTTTAATTCTACCAACTGGCTGGCCATTGCAACCTTTCAAGAGTTCCAGAACTGGGAAATGAAAAGGGGAGTAGGTGTGTAATTGGTATGGAGAAATTGGGTGGGTCAGAGTGGCATGCTTCTTCCTGGGGATTCATTCATTTGATAGATACTAAGTGTCCACCAAACCAAGGAGCTGTGTTGTTGTTGTTATGTGCCCTGGAGTCCAGCCCTACTCATAACGACCTCTCCTAGGGTTTCCCAGGCAGTATCACTACGGAAGTAGATTGCCCAACCTTCCTTCCCAGGAGTGGCTGGTGGGTTTGAACTGCCAGCCTTCTGGTTAGCAGTCAGGTGCCTTAGGCACTAGGCTACCAGAGCTTCCTAAACCGAGGAGCTAGGGATACAAAAATGACGAAGAACTAGCTCCCTGACCTCTAAGACCTTGCAGTTAGATTAAACAAATAATAGAGTGTGATAAGCACTATAATAGAGGAGATATAATAGTAAGTTCATCATTGTTAATTCACATTCAATTTAACATACATTTCTCAGACACCTTTTAAAGGATCATCAAGTATGTAAGGCCCCTTCCTGTCCACCTACTCACTTAAGATGGACTATTTAAAAAAAAAAAAAAAAAGTGCATGATTGCAATGAAAACAGTTTGCGGCAGTGGAGAGAGCTCACAATTTAGAATTAGAAAATTTGTTTCAATTTGTCTCCATCTTACAATAGCTGTAGAAACTTAGGCAAGACATTTAACTTCACAGAGCTTTAGTTCCCTCATTTGTAAAATGGACTTCTGCTTATTTGATTGTTGTGGTCAAAAGTAACCAATGCAGAAGGACTTCCTAAAATATACACAGGGCAAATTGTTACTTAACTATACTCTTCGTGCTTTAGTTGAAATAATGAAAATTTTAAATGATTTTATTATTTTCCTCCCACCCTTAGAAAGGTGCGGACAGAGCTCCGTCATCCTTTAGGATATACTTAGTATACACATAACAGTCCTCTCTGTGTGCTTAGGGATCTTTACTTTAGGAAAATGACCTAAAAATGTCCGTCACGAATGTATTTCCAGGAAGAAATGATCTGACTTCTACAAAACAAGCCAAATAAAAAGGAAATGAAATTCCTTTGCTATGAAGAGTCCTTAAGTGCCACGCCTACGAATTGTTCTCCAAACTGCAGCCTGCAGCCACGACTACAACCCGCAACCCATTTCTCATGAGTCAGCGGACACCATGTCTAGGAGGACCAAGGAAGGGCGCTCTGGCCCCACCAGACGCATTGGGGCGACGTCTATGGTACAGCCTCTCTATCCGCAACCAGAAGCTGGTTCAGACTCTGTGGTCGCAGTTTGGAAATCTGCACGGGAAGTGGGAGGTGAAGTGGTAGTAGGTTGTCACAGCGAGCGGCCTGCCCAATCGAGGTGCGCTATTCTGTGTGCTCACGGCAGCCTCCTATTACCGTCTCACTTAAATGATCTCTACCTCCCTGCAACCTTTTTGAACTGTAAGGGGGTGGGGTGGAGGAGGGGCTTCGGCTGAGGCTACGCGCTGACGGAGAGGCCCGCATCAGCTGATTTTGCCAATCAGCGTGCGGCAGAGCTGTGAAGGACGTCAACAAGAGCCAATCAGCGAATCTGCTTTCTTCCGGCACACGCACTCGCGCCACCCGGGTCACGGCCGTTACTGGTGGCGCGCGCGGGGACTTAAAGTAGGTGAGTTCTAGGGGCCTCCCCCACGGCTCCCCGAGGTGGCATTTCTTTCCCCCGAAGGGCGAGAGGGGCGTGCCTTGGGAGAGACTGGGTGGAGGCGACTCGAAATTTGCTTCAAGAATTACAATAATCATCAGTACCTGACGTCCAGCTCAGAGTTGGGTATGAAGACACAGGGAGATGTTGGATCATAAGGGAACCTGCTTGAGGTGTGGATCAAAGATGGTGGCGTACTGAGTTGGAGTCAAGGCTCGTGGGAACCCATTGAGTAGGCCAGTCATGAGGACAGAGTTGATACTTTATCCAGGGGAGCGTCCTGCTTTCCCTACCGGTCAACAGTTTCCTTCTTAGGGTACCATTCCTTCTAAGTGAATTACGTGCATGCTATTTTGAGTTCCATCTCCTTTCATTTTTTCTTTTATCGGTAGGCTCGATGATGTAACCTCCACAAGGACAGGATTCATTTTATGTTTAGTTGATGGATGTGTCCCACATATGTTGAACACAACAAGGCTCTCCATAACTACTGTTGAATGAGTATGATGGACCTTAGAGTTCTGCTAGTCCAGCCATCAAGGGAGTGTGTGAAGGCAGAAATGAAAAGTAGTGGTTACAATATGAGGAGTGTTGGAATAGGCATGAGTCCACTGACTGCTGTGGAACACACTGGACAAGTTGGGCGGATTCCAGGAAAGACTTTGTTGAGGAAGTGACATTTGAACTGAATCTTGAAGGATGGGTAGGAGTTGGACCAGGAAACTTGAGAGGGAAAGACCAGAGGCAGGCTGGGCTAAGGCATGCAGGTGGGAAGAACAAGGTGGACAGCATGTTCAGGATTAATTAGAACGCCCATGTGACTGAATCATAGGCTCATGAGATTCGGAGAGTGAGACAGTTCACATCATGGAGGGTCTTGCTAAGAAGTTAGATTTTATTTTATCCCAATGGCAGTGTGTGGCACAAGATTTTATTTTATCCTGTGAGCATGGAAAGCCAGAAAGACATCAGGGTGATCTTGTGTAAGTTCCTTAATCCATTTGTATTTGTCATCATTTTTTATTTAAAAAAATGGAAGAAAATAATAGTACTTACATTATAGACTTCTTTTGACTATTAAATGAGTTGGTCAATATAAAGTAATCAGAACATTGCTTGGCACGTAACGATCTATATGTGTCATCTGTTTCGATGATTCTTTGCAGTTTAGTCTGATCACCCTGAAGTGGTATGGTAGAGTGTGAAAAGCATGACTCTTGCAGCCAGAAGTACATATATTCCTATCCTTTCTACTTACTGCTGTATTATATTGAGGAAAAATTTTAAATATTTTTAGCATTAGTTTCCTAAATGCCTTATGCCTGACACATAACACAATAACACAATGCTTAACACATAGCTGATGTTTGCCACAGGCAAAGGTTAGTTCCTCTTGAAATTATATTTTTCACAAAGTGTATGTGAACTGCTGTATGGAAAGTGAAATTTGCTCTGTAAATTTTCACCCAAATCACCATAAAAAACATTTTATATATATATA